CAAGAAAGTTCGCGTATTGTCAGACTACAAAGGATAATGGTTATACGCTTTGAAAAGTTTTTAGTGTAAAATAAGTACATATGTAAATAAAATATTTAAAAATGTTTGCATGTGTATTTTATAAACCAGATTCCAAGTAGTTGCCAAGCCTCGTATCTTGGTTTCGTTTAAAAAAAAACCATTGCTAGTTATCTCGTAAGGTTTTGAGTTATTTTCTAAGTGAGACGTTTTTATGCGGTGCATAGTCAGCGCATTAAAAGAACACTTTTTAATTGTATTGAGAAAACTATTTTTTATAGCCACTCATGAAGTTCTGAGCGATTTTTTTATTCGTTTTCTTTTATGCGGTCCCTATCCATCGTACAAAAACAGGTTTGAGTGTACTGTCAATTGTGAGCTGTAGGTCATTATTCGAGATAATACTTAAACACACCAGAACACCAAAAGATTCCAGAGGTAATTTGCAGGAAATCAATTTAGTCAAAGAAGAAAGTTACACAAAGCTTATACAATATTTAATTGAAAAAAGTATTTGAAAATGTATCAATTTATGTTCGATATTAAAAAATATATTTGCTGTATTTAAGATAGTCATGAAAAATAAGCAAAAAGGCGGAATAAAACCCTGCCAAGAAGCATGACACCATATTCGTGTATAAGTGGAATCTACTAGTTGTTGACGCTGGTAGTTCGACCCAAGTTCAAATTCCAGGTGAACGGGTGGCTGCAAGGTTGATTTTTCTCATGTGTAACGTGAATACGAGCCAGTTTCACTTAAAAAGTTCTCCATGAAGGCATCCCTTCCCTTCGGCAGATAGCCCAAGTGCGGTTTGCCAATAGTCGAATAAACCAAACCAAACGTATTTAAGTGGCACTGAGTTTACAAAGATGACAACTATATTGCTGGTATTTTGAAATACTGTAGGATTTTCAGCCGCCGGAATGATTAGTGCAAATTTGAATAAATTGTTTGGCAATGTTTGAGCTCATATTTATTTGTTATATGCTGTATCTGTTGATTATCTAGCTAAATAAAGAGCCATCTATTGTTTCGAAATTCGCTGGGATGATTGACACAAATTTGGCAGGATTTTCGCTGCCTTTTACAGTCGACGAGACACAACTGTCACGGTTGAGGGGGAAATGCGCAAGTACTGAATACTAACTATGAAATTGGGATTCTTTAAAAAAGATGAAGCCATGCTATTGATGCGTCCATGTACGTCGTTCAGCATACCATAATAGGCAACGAAGTAGTCTCGAGGCCAGAACAGCGCCTTATCGACAGTCCGTGAAGTTGCAGATATCGTTCCATAGTATGTGAGGATATTTGACTTTGTGCAACACATCTAGTTTCTTGACCGAGAATACGTGAAGTTCTCTTCAGTGATGCGAACAAGATGCCTGTCGCCTCGGGCACTTATAGTGAGTGGGGACAGTTGAAATCCCCTTTGGGTAGCCATTCTGAACCCATAGATTATAAGTTAGAACAATCACTGGATCTCGACAAACACGAGCAGCAATTCCGCGATATGATAATATGAAATTACATTACAGTATTGACCTCTCGCAATCAAATTCTGAAGCATACTGATGTGAATTCTTTGTTCTTATATCAGTCGTAACACGACCTCTGTCCCCCAAAAAACAATGTGTAAATTCTATTTCAGATTGAAAAATCTCGGATACACGATTATGAATGTGAATTTGTCACTCAATTGGTGTTTTTTTTATATATCTTCAGTTGAAAATATAGGAGGCATTATGTGACGTCTCTGAATTCCATTAGAAAGAGAAGAATTAAAATGTGTAAAGTGGAAGAGGCTATTAACTTTGAAAAGAAAAAAAATCCAATGAACTTGAGTTATCAGTCAAAAAGATAACTTTTGAGGATGTGGATAGTATAAAATCTTTATGCATAATCCATCTCTAAAATTTTGTACTCCAAATAGTATTTAGAAACGTTTGCAATACTAGAGTTATCTGCTATGTTGAAAGAATTAGAATTAATTTTTCAACAGTGCAGTTAACTCCAAAGCCCTTCAAACATTTCTAAATATATGAAATTAGAATAAAATTATTTCACTTTCAGTATTGAGGTCCCTGTAGATAATATTGCTGTACGGAGAAACCATGGAGACTTGTAAATAATACGTAAAGATTTTATTCTAGAATATCTGAAGACATTTGACATCTGATGGAAACATTGCACCAAGCCAGAATAAACACATAAGCAGTCAACGAATCACAGTAGATATTTTTTCCTTGGGTTAAAAGGCAGATAGCTTTCGAGTTGCTTTACCTTAATCAGCCTAACTTTAGTTTCGGTTATATTATTTGAATATGGCTACCTATTTAAGAGGAAGAATGACAACGTGGAGGACTTTTTAAGGAAAATTTGCTCATATACACGTAACACATAGACAAAACCTACCCTACAGCCAACCTGTTGTCGAACCCAGGCTGAGCTAGCAGTATACAACGGTCTCAAGCATACGACCATTTTATGGGCCTCTTCGATGGGACTTCCAAGGAAGAAGCTATGTTTATTTTCGATTGCCATGGCGTTGTTTGTAAGCGCAGGTGATTAAATTGTTTCAGTGAGGCGTGGAATTCACTGTGCCACCAAATCAGCAGTTTAAACTTTGAAGATATTTTGACCAAAGTGTTTAAGTACCATGTTGCCTACTGCATTTACATTGTCGCATAGTGATGAAGAGTGTTGCTTTGCCAGCATTGATCAACTTCCTCCAGAAGTTGCACCAAACTTCTATGGACTGAATTTTATATTGCATTTTTAATAAAGCGTGATTCTCAACGACAGACTAAATAATGATTGTTATCTCATCAGTGCAGCAGGAGAGCAGTTGCTGTCGTATTTGAAAACTGGGATGTCACACATACAGGTTAGATATGGAAGAGTTCCACAATAATAAGTCTTTTGAAAATCCAGCCAGCATAGTTTCAGGATTAGAAAGAGTTACCGATTGACATACGGAAAGTTTTCTCACAGGATCTCAGTTTGAGTGTAGGATCTCAGTTTGACGTAACGGAGGGTCCGAGTTTGAATCCCAGAGAAGGCATGGATGTTTGTAAATGTATATTGTCTTTAAGGCATGCAGGGATACTCTAAATATATGGCAAGCCGAATGTCCTCTCATGTGGTTTGGTGGTAGGAGACCCTCAGATCACCTCCCGGGGTCCCCTTCCCTCAAAATTTGGGTGGGATGTTGAAGGCCAACCTCCTTGAGGATCTGGCAACCATTCTTACATGGACAAGACAACTACTCTTATCCGCAACAATGTGCGCATGCCACAAAATGCTAACCATTTGCAAATCATAATACGTTTTGCTTTTCATACAAACTTTCAAGGTTTTTGCGTGCTTCCTTCATGATGTAACATTTTAATGGTCAATAGGTGTATCATTTAAGTTTTGGTGCTTTATTAAAAGCCAAGTATTCGAATGAAAGAGTCTAAAAACTTCATTTCGAGAAATTTGCATTCTATTATTAGAAACAGTTTCTAAAGAAAAAGCACAAGTGTGAGCCAGGAGAGGCAGAATAACTTTGAAACAGTTCCACACAACCCATAAGCATTCCTAGGTTTATATGAATAAATTACGCGTTCCAATGATACAGTAGTATTCTACTTAGAGACTCTTTGTTCACTGCTGCTTTACTGAGCCAAAGAACAAGAAAGTATTTGACTAAGAAAGGGGTGCTTTCGCTTAAATGCCTCTGAAGGTTTTCACGTTTACTTCTTCTATAAATCTTTCTGAATAACGCATTCAATCTAAGGATATGCAATTCTTTCTGTCTTAAAACTATCCCCGTAAGTTATTTTTAAACAAAATTATTTATTATTCTCATTATTCACATTTTTATTGTTACCGTCTATGCTACTTTTTATTGAAAGCAACAAAGCAGATCGAATTCAGTGGCTAGAGCTATTGAACACTAAATCCACAGATATACTTGCCTGTGGTTAATTTGACTTGAGAACCGTAGGATATTTGTTTCTGCATTTAACCCAAATGCTATCTAGTTTCGTTTAGAAGTTTCTTTGTAAAACAAGAATTAATTCATTTAAAAGCAGAAAGAAATACACTACCATATTCAGTAAAGCATTTAACTCTTAGATAACGTATACATTATTTCATTTATAATAAGATCTCCGTTTTCAGTTTGAACTCAAAGATTTATTGTAGTATTGGTTAACCGAGTTAAAAATATTCAAAAGATCAGGGAAGGAATACTTTTAAAGGACTGGCAGTGGAAAATTTCATTACGTATAGTAGGAAAGAATAAATTTCCATCTCACTGCCTAGAACTGAAAACGGGAAAAAAACTACTTGCGTTTCGCGACTTATTCCCCATAAGGGAAATCACTTGCACTATAGTTATTGGTAAAGTAGCAACACCATGAAGTTTGAAAGTTGAGTCTCCACGCAGTGCTCATGTGAAAGTTTCAAATTTTACTGCAACAGCAATTCTTCAGACTCGTGAGTTGATGCTAATTTTTGAATATTTCTGGGGGTAAAGTGTTGAAAGCTTATGCTCTGTTTGGGCGGGGAAGGGCTCAGCTATGTATTTATAAATTTGCTGCTATAGAACATGCACTTAATCTACCATTTTCCAATTTATTTTGAATACTTAAACTTTCTGAGAATTGAATTATGCCAATTTTATGAAGTATCGGAAATTTATCGCACCAAGATTTGTTAACTTTTAGTTTATTGATATTTGCATTAGCAAAGCCTTCTTAAGCGTCAATAAAAATAGTTTTGAATTTTTGAGAATACTAATTTGTAATTGATTCAAAATCCAATTTGTAGGCATCTGAGAATTCATCATTTTATAGTTATAACACTAATTATATATTACTTTTTGTAACTAGGAAAGGCATGATCGTAAAAAAGTACTACCCAAAAACATTAAAAAATAGTCAACTTTCTTGCATTTCCGTTCAGTTTCCTTTCAATTCAAATAAATGCAATATAGATTTCAAATAAATTTTTATTTATATAGAAAATCTACACTTGGATTCAAAATCACCAAAAATCACATTCTAAAAATATGTCATTGTATAAACACTTATATGAACAATTCTAAGAACTTTTGTACAAATTCAACGCTGAGCAAATCCGTTAAGTTGCAAACTTTACAGAAGGAATGTCAATTCTATAGCCTCTTCTAGGAACACAATCCCGTAATAAACTACACAAATGTTTTTGCATCACAAATATAACAAAAATATTTACAAATTCCATCATGTTTAACTTAAGACGAAATTAACATGAAACTGCCCCAAGATTTATAGGTGGAAGTATGTGTTAAAATCTTATCCAAAATCTTCAGATTCTCGAGACCAGTCGTTAAGAGGAAAGGCAGAAATCCAGAAGTACACCTAAAGTCGCAATTGAAAGGACAGATGCAGTTGTGCGTATATGAAATAGCTTTCGATAGGAATATAACAGATCAGAATTTATTAGAAGAAAATGAATGCGTACGAGTATTAAACGAGATGAAAAGTTTTAAAGATAGAAAAGGCCCAGTAAAATAGATTAGAATTCGTCGTGTCGAGAAGATTCAGTAGGATCTTCTTGTACCCAGTATTCAGGAGGCAGGAGAGTTAGGAAATATTCGTGGTAATCTTCAATATCCTTCCGACTAAGTTTGGTGTCTTGGTCCTGATCTGCAATGGAAATTAACCGCCAAGCTTCAGCTTCACTTCTATCATAAGTCGGCACTACCCACTCTCGCATTTCTGCTTCATTTAAACTACCATCCTTGTCACGGTCCAAGAAATTTGTGAAATGTCCTTGCTGAGCGGCAGCCCAGTTAGGATCTTCCTTTTCTTCACCGGATACCTGAAAAAAATTAAAGCATCATTAAAGGACTAAGTTTCGAACACGGCTACAAAAGTATATTAAATGAAATTATAAAAAATCTGTTAAAGGAGAAATTAGATTTCTATAAACATTTTTGGGGGCCTTAATTTTTCCCTCTTTTTAATGAAAGTATCTAATGTGCATGGAAGATTTGAATATCCAATTTTATTGGACAGGGATAATCCGGATAACTGGAATCCAATATTTGGATCTTCCAATTTTATTCGATTAAGATTCTACTACAATAATATGTTCGGAGATGTTAACTCTGATTACATTATTTTGACTGAACAATTATTAACTGATTATTGTGTGCACAACTTTCACTCTACACAACAGACTTCACGCTGGAGGAAAAAAAAGGTAAGTTAAATTAAAAGGATGATTAAATAGCAGCCAGCTGTCAGAGATTTCGTAAATTATGATAAAGAGGACTGTTTATATTTGGAGGAATATTTCGGGGAGAACTAAATAGAACTGATTCACATTATGCATGTAAGAAATCCCAGTCGGTCATCATTCGTGGGAGGACGAAAAATAATATTTCCATTCTAACGTATTTGCATTTGAAAAATGTTCAAAATGGCTTTTTAAATCTTATTTTCTACATGGTGTAATTTCAAATATGATAAAATAACCAATTCAAAATCAAATAGTTTGCCGTTTAGATGAAACTTGCACCAATTCTAACTAAATAGAAAAACGGGAGAAATCTGTCGAGCAGATAGTTTAACTATATTTACTTCAGAATCCTGAATTCCGTAATTTTACAATTTCCTAGAGGAAGAAAAATCTATGTATTAATTATCTTCAAAAGAAACAGCCTAAAATGAAAATTACCTAGAGAGTATTGTAGCAAAAATGAAAATGAACATCAATTTTTATTTATTGCAATTTGCTATGGTAAAAAAGATTCACTTAAGGACCATTGGAGGATCAAAATGGATAAGATGAATGATGCTGCATATTTCAATCGTATTACACATTACTCATTCAGTAAAAATACTTTACCTTGTTAAGATGAGTCATATATTCTTCAAGGGAGACTTCGTTGTTCTTATCCAAATCCATGTCTTCCATAGCTTCAAGGACAGCAACTCCGCCAGCTCTCTGGGATTCTTCAGGATGAATAAAATCCCTGAATTCTTGTTTAGATAAGCTGCCATCTCCATCCACATCAGCATTCTTCCATCGACGCTCCGCTCGGCGGATCATGTCTTTCAACTCTTTCATTTCCTCGGTTTTAGGTTCGCCTTCTTTTAAAGCTGAAAAACGAATAATTTGATGTGCATCATTAATTGCATTTTTGCAATGCATTGCAGAAATTGCTACTTTGCACTGCTTTTCTATTTTAATTCAGACAATTCATTAGCATGGATACTTAACCGACAGCATGTATATCACCGTTTTTTGACTCGTCTTTCAAACGTTCAGAAGTTTCACTACTAGTAAATTTCCGTTTTAGGTCTATAAATTTCCAATGATGTTACTTATGTAATATACCGGCTGTAAACAGACCGATCAGACGCACCGTTTTGAACGGGAGAGTACCTTTTGTTTTAAAATTTATTTGTCCTGTTATTTTGATAAATATATCAGTTTTGTCCCGTATCAATCAGTTATAAATTATTATTCTCATGAAAGGGAATTCCATAATTTTATATCAGAAATTTAAGCATGTTTAATGAGCGCTATTCTCACTTTTCTCCCCCACCCCCTAAATAAAAATGCTCTGTATTACAAAAAAACATTTGGAAGTTTGACTTTTGGTTGTCATTTTGCAAAACATTGAGGGTCTGTGTTTTAAACATACGTGCTATAATTAACTTTTAACTACAAAAGTAAATTTTGTAAAATAGGTTAGCGTTCAGTCAAGTTAAAAGTTTCGTCAATACTGACTTCACAAAACTAAAAGTGTTAACTGATTCAAAAGAAATAAATAGGCCCATCCTTGAAATAAATGAAAACTTCAGTGAAACCAGTTGACAATAAGAGCCTGGGTACTGCATGCAAGACTAAGACATCCAATATTAAGGATTTCTGAAAACATTTTACAGTTTTTCTCTCGTAAAAACACGCAAAGGAAACACTGAGCTTTCAGAGAGGACACTGACTAATGCTCTAGTGCAGGAATTCTAAATGGGGTTGACAATCCTTCCACGGGGAATTTAATAATTTCGGGTGGGGATACGGTTACCTTTTGTCTGCGTTTTTTAGTTTTATTTTATGTATACAAAAACCTTCTTTTATTCAAGTTTTGGTATTTACTAACACTTTTTATACTTTGTTTAATTTACAAAATACATTAAAAATATTTTCAATAAATGTTAATGTATTTTTCGAGTTTTGGAATAGGGCAAGCTATTGATTGTCAAGGAATACATGGAGCAAAAAGTTTGAGAACCCTTGCTGTAGAGTTTCTAGAGCGGGCCCTGCTTAGGTTACATTATATCAACAAGTGAACGTAGTTTACTGAGCATTAAGAAGTTTAAGAGGATTCTTTTAAAGAAGGCATCTGAAAAGAAAGTACAGACTACCTCTTTCAGAGAATCATCTCTGCCCATATAACAGAATAAATTCGGTTAGTGGAATTTTGTGAAGTCCAACTGCGATGTAGTTAGACGTGTGGAAAACATTTTTATATCAAACAGGTAGATGAGTGGCATGTCTCAAATAAGTTAAAAGCATATTTTCGCTTGTGGAAGGAGAAATCTAGATAAAGAATTGAAACTATAAAAGCTACGCAGTTTTGTGACAAAATGTCATGGAATGTGATAAATTTTATTACATGGCGCTGAGAAACAAATAGGCTATGTAAGATATCTTCGTCAAAATATTCATAGTAGGAAACTTAGTGTAACACATTTCACCTCTAATATTAACATTTATATAGATTCTATTGCTGAAGAATAAATTCATCTACCGTAAAAATGTCTTCCTTCTTTGTCACGATTAACTATTGTCCCATTCGTAACATCCTGATATCCCATTTCTTTTAGCGAAAATTTCGTCAGCCTAGTTATGTCTTTTGCAATTATAATAACGTTAGAAATGTTTTTAAAAATTATCACTTGAATAAAATATAAATTTAATGCATTTTGACTTAGATATATTTCTAAAAATAAAAACGAAGGTTTAAATTAACAAGTGCATTTACATTTATTGCTTTTAAACCGTAAAGTACGTTCAAGACTTAAACACCGATTAATTTCAACCGAAATTTGAAAGCTAAATACTTCATGCTTTGTGGAATGGCGACACCGAGTATTGACTGTATACGAAGGAAGATATCACGTGATAGATAAAGAACGTGCGTTTCTCACAGTGGTTAAGAACATTTCTAACGTCAGTATTTATATTTCTAAATGTTTTTAGCTGAAAAAGTAATCCTGAAGGTTACCAAATCATCGATTAAGGAATAAATTAAGCAGTTAAGGATTTTATCTAGTCTTTAAACATTCAGCTTCTCTCATCGAGTAATATGTTTGATACTAATTTTTACATTTTAATATTAGGCTGATAATGTAATTCTTGACTTTCATGATAGCACATCAAAGCTCCTTATATTTTAGTCAGGGTCGGTGTCAAAGCCGAAACTATTAGTGCGTGAGGTGCGCCTAGATATTTAGGGTTAGGAAAGCACCGAGTAGCAAAATTAAAAAAATTTAGAATACATGGGAGGAAATGAACTTCAGAGTTTAGGAGTGAAATTGACCGCGGAGTAAAGTTTCTAGCCTCTGCTCAGTTTTTTTTTTTTTTTTTTTTTAGTTTCTATCATTAAGTTTAATGTAAAAGTGATACTGGGCGCTAATATGAATTTTATACTCAAGATCTAGTGAAACTGCTAACTGCGAAAGTCATTTCGAATTAACGTAAGAATCGAGTCTTGCACATATCAGTTACGTAATTTAGTTTTTAAGGTCGTGATCGAATTTTAGAAACAACTCCCGAATTTCAACATTGGTTTCGAGAGAAGACGATTTTTCATTAACTTGGAATCAGTTTCCAATATAAGTATATATTTAGAAAATCTAACGTGGACACCACATAACTTCCTTGTACGGCCTAATAAATTATACACTTTTTGTTTTACTGATATTCATTTAAACTTATTTCCTCGAATTATTTTAACTTAAACTATCTCTCAAGACAAGTTGAAAATGACATCAAAAATTCCAAATTCTGAAACCCGGGTCAATTTTTGTCGTACGGGAATCAAACTTATTGTTTTTTCATAACGAGCAGAAGAATTTCCCAAGTATAGGAACCGGGAGACCGCATTGAAAAGTTAGATTTCGTTACTTGTCGAAAATTATTATTTTTTTAAGTCACTTAAAACACTTATGTAATTAGAAACATAGGACTACGACCAAAGATTGCGGAAATAAAGGCCGGGTAAGCACTTTTAAAACCGTTAAAAGGGTGGGTATATATATAAGTTATATATATATATATTGGGTTGAAACATAACTAATAGCCTTTTATATTTTGTTTAAAATTACGCAGTAAAAACAAAATGTATTGGTATGTTTTGTGTTATTCCAAAGAGAATGTTTCCCTCTACAGGATGGCTTATTTGATTTTTTTGTCTGAACTGACTCTTGTTATTTTTCATATCATTAAAGTGGAGTGTCAAGTCGACAAAAATAAGCATTTTCGACACCCACCTCCTTTTTACTTTTAATCGAGGAGTCAATGCTTCAGAAGCTGAACGAGAGAGTTGTGAAGTGTATGGAGAAGAAGCAATGCCCGAAAGAACTGCAAGAAATTGTTTTGCCAAATTTAAAAACGGTAATTTCGACCTCCAAGACGCTGCTCGTTCCAGACGACCCAATGAGTTTGATGAAGAGCGTTTTAATAAACTTCTGCACGAAGACGCGCGTCAAAACTACTCGAGAATTAGCCGAACGAATGGGTTGTAGCCAAATGACTACAGTTCGACATCTTGGGTCTATGGAAAAGTAAAAAAAAAAACACCGATGTTATTGACCAATTTATTTTTTGTTTTGTTAAAATAAACTATTTTAAATTAAAAAAACGGTCATTACTTATTTTCAACCTAATATATGCAGTATTTTAGGTGCGCAGTTAGAGAGGTGCAGAAACCAGTAACTTTCAGATGTGGCCGTTTCAAAATATTTTATTCCATGGTAATTAACATCGGATCAATTCTGTAGATAGGGTAGTTTTCTGCGAGCAGTATTTATAGTAAGTATGATGCACAAGTACAATTAATCTGCAGTTGGTTAATTTTGGTTGTTATGCAACTTGGAAAGATCTCGAATTTGGAAGAAGATGAATTTAGAGGGAGAACATAAAATCTAGAATAGTTAATTTTGAGGTCTCCAATCGTTTCTTAAAGCAACCATCGTATTATCTTACATATTCATATATATAGTTAAGGGTAGTGTCTAACTAGATGTCATATCAGTCCCAGATACAAAATTTCAGTGTTCTGCGGCTAATAGTTTTTGAGTTATACGAGATGCATACTACGTACATGGATGTATGTACGTACAAATGTCATGAACTAAATCCCTTTTGGATGCATTTTAAATCGATTTTACAATCTGTTATTGGGAAGAGTCGTTTATTCTTTCCTTCGCAGACTACTTTATTAGCTCCTTTCTTTGCATTAATGTCAATGAATGGTCTTGAATGAGTATTAATTGTTGGGCAACTGTTGAGTGCAACTGTCATTTCTGCGTCCTTAACAAAATTCCGAAAATAAATATTATTTATAATATTAAAAGCGTTTGCTACAGCACATTTATCACCTCATGTGAAGTTGACAAGGCTCTAAGCCGAGGTTGAAATTTTAACGAGAAAATACTGTAGTTAATAAAAATGGAAATTTGGTAGTTTATACGACATTGCGAACAAAATGAATACATTTTGCATTTCATTTATAAGACCTTATATTAGATATTTTTGTTCCTTACGAAACGAGAAATACAACATTAACATAAAAAGTAGCTAAATATATTGCAAAATTTCTTTGCATGCCAATCCACGATTTTAGAAAAAAAAAAAAAGGTATATGTAAATGGCAACAATAAAATGTACAGACAAATTTATATAAAAATAGAACCATACACTTTGAGAACAGAAAAAGTACATTTTCTCTCTCACTTAATGCAGACATTTAAATATGTATGTTCTTTGAATATTTAAAATGTACATATTCATGAAATAATTATTCTCCATACTTAATAGTAATTTCATAATCGAAATTGGCTACTTTACTGAATTTGCTTTTAAACAG